GTCAACAAAATCATGCCAATCAAGGTATGGTAGCCAGGTCTCCTGCCCTCCAGCAATCCCTGTTTCCCACCATCATTCTGTCAGTCGGGGGGGGGGGATAATCACCATTGGCACCACGGCATGATGTCACTATTAGGGGAAACCTAGAAATGATGCCATGCCGCTCTAACAATCACCACAAACTCTATGGAAAAACTCTGTGCTGTTCTAGGAATTGCTGGAAGCTCTATGGTAAAAACACAGAGTTTCTGGTGATCCCTAGAGTAGCATCACTTCCAGGTTTTCCACAGAAGTGACATCACAGCATTGCACCAATGACATCCCTACTGTATCCCACCTGGTGCCAGCCATTGGCTGGCAGTCCTAAGTCAAGGGCAAAGCCCCTGTGTCTAGTCACAACTTGCCTTACCTGTGCAGGCAGGAGCACAGAGAGCAGGGCTTGAAAACAGGATCGATGGGCTGGACAATGTGGGAGGAAGCACTCCTTGAAGTACATTTATGGTCTTATAGGTAAGAACCAACACTTTGAATTGTGTCCAGAATCCGATGGGCAACCATTCTAGGTATTTCGACAAAGGGGTGATGTGATCCCTCTGTACAGCATCTGTTAATAGCCTGGCTGTCACATTGTGGCCCAAGTGAAGTTTCTGAACAGTTTTCAAAGGCAGCCCCACGTAAATCCCGTTACAGTAATCTAGCCTGGATGTGACCAGAGCTTAGATCACAATGGTTTTTAAAGGAAGGGCCATACAGTAATCTAGCCTGGATGTGATCAGAGCTTAGATCCCAGTGGCCAGACAATGTTTTTAAAGGAAGGGCCATAGACAAATGAAGCTGCCTTATACTCAGGGGTCATTTCGTAGAAAAAGAGCTAGGGGAACTCATTAGCATAACTCATTAGCATATGCCACACCCCCTGACATCACCGGAAGTGTGTCATAAGGCCACACCCCCTGAATGTGCTCGCCCGCTTCGGGAGAGGGGATCAAAGTGTAATACAAGCCTCTTCCGAGACTTGATCACACCAATTTCAACTCTCTCCTGGGTCTTGATGCCTGCCAGTCATTCCCTCTACCTGGGGGAAGCCGCTTTGGACCAAAATACAGTCCAAACTGCTGTAAGGAACACCCGTCCACCCTGAGCACTTACAGGGTGCGTCAAATCGCCATTTTACCCCGACCAGAAGCAGGGGGCGGGGCTTTGTCATGTGCCCCGCCCCCCACACCTCACCCGGGGGAACTGCGATCCCCCCCGAATCGACCCCTGCTTATACTGAATCAGACCACTGGTCTGTCAGAGTCTACTAGCACTGACAGCAGCTCTCCAGGGTTCTAGGAGAAGGCCTTCCACATCTCCTGTCACCTGATCCTTTGGACTGGAGTGGCCGCGGGCTGAACCTGGGACCTTCTGCATGGTGCCAAGAAGACGATCACTCACTGAGCTACAGCCTCATAGTGAGGTTAAGGTGGAGTCACCCCACTACATCCACCAGCCCTCTACCTGCACAAGGAACTGCCTCTTTTGCAAACCAGAATGCTTACAGATGGAAGGGAAGTGTTAACTATGAAATTCACAATACTAATACCTGTTGCAAAGTTAGCTGGTGGACCAGAGATGAAGAGGTCAAGGTTTTTTCCCTGGGTGGTTTTTTTCATGTTTGTCATTTTTAAGTTTCTTCTTCTATAAACAAAAGCTAAAGCACAGGCAACTAGAGCTGTCAGGCTACTCCACACCAGCCCCACCACCATTCAGTAGGGCAGCATGGGGGGGATGGTGCAAAAATAGGTGTTTGGCAGTGCCATAACATCACTTCTGGGGTGAACCCGCAAGTGACATCATCGCACCAGCACTCTAGGATTCATGAGAAACTCTATAGTTTTACCACAATACTGCCCCCTATTTTCCTGCCCTTCATCTACTGCTGGGTGCAGCCACTGGCTGGCAACTCCCCGGGTGACCCATTGGTTCCCTTCCTACACTACCATCCTTATAATCTTCCGTATCTTCACTTATATTTCAGTCAGGTTTCAGATAGAGCAGCATTTCCCAGTCAGTGGGACCCATCCTCAAAGTGGATGCACAGCCTGTGAAAATGGGTCCCAGGCTCTTGACATTTTGTTGATTTGTGCATGCTCTGTTGCTTGTTTTTAAAGTGAGACACTGTACCAAGGAACTTTGGACTAGCGGGTCACTATACCAAAAAGATGGGAACCACTTTGACCGAGTATACCGTGAATCTTTGTCTAAAAGCCTATGTGCTATGTAGACTTCCTTGAATAAATGCATGTATGTAGATTGTAAATCCAAAGGAGATGTACTCTTTCATGCACCCAAACAAGCAAATTAAGAAACAAGAATCATTGCATCAGCATGGCGTCGCTGAGCACTGTCTCATTTGTCGGTCTGAACTTCTTTTTCTTTGTACATCCGTCGGCTCAATTTTCATGATGTGTTCTACAGGTCTAAGGCTTCTTTTCAAAGTGCGTGTTTTGAAATGTGTGAAAGATCAACATTAGAGAAGCAGGATTACCTGTGGCTCCTTGTCGAGTGTGCACTCTGTTGCAAACTTCTTTTTGCGGTCTCCTAAAGGCAAGGCCAGGCTTTGCATGTGTCCTCATGCATGCACACACATGCTGGAAGAGAAGAGAGCTTGCCTTGCAGCTTAGAGACATGTAACGATAACATTCCCTTTAAAAAGAACAGAGGGGAGCGTGTGGGAAGAGATGTCAACAGGAGAGAGCCTGTATGGCTCACATCTGCGCAGGGACAGCTTGATCCGTGTACTGTTAGACTGAGACAGCTTCCCCAGATTTATTTACAGCAAATCTTAATAATTAATGAGCAGTTATTATTATAGCGGCTCCTAAAACCATATGGCGTGCAGGATGTGAACAAATCTTTCGAGACGGCGCACTCGGGCGGAAGCTTGTTCTGATTTCCGCTGTGTTCTGTCGGAGCAGAAGGCAGAGGTGTGTCCACAGCATGGAATGTTTACTTACAGGTTTTCATTCAGGAGGGCTTCTGTCTGTTCAGGCCCCTGATTTTGAAACAGTCCCCAGGCCAATCCCAGCCAGATCTCAGAGGGTGTGGGAACATCGATGGCATCAAGTCAGACTCCCTTCTTCGCCTCGGAGCATCAGAGTCAACAACATTGACAATCGTGATTTAGGAAGACCAGGGTATACATTTCCCACATACCCTCCAGTAGGACAAGCTGGGCCAAAGAATTTAGACTGTGGGGCATGGCTTCCAGACCTGTGAGGAAAGCCACACTGTTATGGCGGCGGCGGCAGCAAGAGCTCCGCAGGAACAACATCCACACACCCCGTTCCTGTACCGCTTGCTACGTTCCCACTCCCACCCTCTCTGCTCCCCGTCACCCCTGAGTGTTATGCAGACGCCCTCACGGCCTGCACCCCTGTTGTAGTGAGGTTGTGCAGTTCAGTAAGGAGATGGGGGGGGCTTTAAAAAACGAGTAGCTCCACCATTTTGAAGGCAGAGCTGAGTTCCGTTCCCCCCTCATGGGGGCTACGAGGGAGTAGTCAGTAGTCAACTCACAGCCATCTGGCAGCTTAAACCTTAGAAAGTGAGGCTTTTCTTTTCTCTGGAGTAAAGGGGGGGAAATGGCAGCCAGAAAGGCTGTGTCCACCTTTATTTTATTTATTTGTTTGTTTGTTTATTTATTTATTATTCAATTTATATCCCGCCCTCCCTTCAGGCTCAGGGCGGCTAACAATTAGGGCTCAAGGCCAGTGTTCCCTCTAAGCTGAGTTAGTGTGAGCTAGCTCACAGTTTTTTAGCCTCTGGCTCACACATTTTTATCTTAGCTCAGGAAGGAGGGCTCCAGAGCAAACTCATTTATGCAGCAGCCAAATGGCTCGCTCACAACTTTAATGCCGGCAGCTCAAAAAGTAGGATTTTTGCTCACAAGACTCCACAGTTTAGAGGGAGCATTGCTCAAGGCCATGCTTAAAACAGTTAAAAACAAGATAAAACAATACAATAATACAGTAAAGTGCTGATGCTCCAAATGTCCATGATTCCCAGATGGGTTCTGGCAAGACAGACTCAGAATAATGATGTAAGTTCCAATGATGTGAGTTCCAAAACGACGCTGCCATCCAGTCTTCGTCCCAGGGCCGTCTAGCACCCTGATGGTATCCACACCTTTGTGGTGGCGGTGCGCTGGTGGTACACACCTTGAGCACAACTCCAACTAGATGATCCCCATTACTGAGGGGACTTCCTGCTGTCCTTGTGGGAGGAAATCCCTGTGTGGAAGAAGCTGGAGTACAAAATAATCCAACTATAAAGTCAAGATGGGGTAAAAA